GTGAAAGCAACCTTAAAGGAGGCAACCAACTTAGAGGTGTAGTAATTAACTGTACAGAGATCTTCGTGTGTAGTGACATGGGATGCAGCACTTCACCCCCACTGTAACTTGTTACATTTAGGAGTTATTCTGCTGAGCCCGTGCCCTCTCCACCTGTCCAATGTATCTCTGCTACCTCACTCCCAGTGACAAAATGGGGTCTCGCCAAGCACATACCGTGGACCTCATGCACGCTGTCATTAACTCCTTACATTTTCCTCTATACCTTGCTGTTAGGCTGCAGGTCTCTGTAACCTGGGTTCTGTCCTGGTCGCTTTGGGAAAGCGACCGCTGGGGAGGGAGCCAGAACACTGAACATCTAGCTATCGAAGGACAGCTCACCTTACCCAGGTATCATGCTTTACGACAGGCTGCTGAAACATTCTACATCAGTACTTGGTTACAGTGACACTCTCTTCTACTCTTGATGATGAGTTAACCCTTTGTACGCACCATACGCGGTGGTGGCCAGTTGTACCCAGCTTCCCCCCCATATAAACCTCACGGGGTGGGTAGACTGGGTCTAAAAAGCCCCCAAACAGCACCAGAATAGTTTCACCCCTTCCCCTGCCTGGGCCAGCCACCATCTAGCTAACATACATAGGAAACCTACCTACAGGCAGTATGCACAGAAGAGGTGTGGAGGGTATGACAGGGGACAATATGTACAGGAGAAGAGTGTAGAGTGTATGATGAGGGTAAGTATGTACTGGAGAGGCATGTGGAGGGTATGACAGTGGACATTATCTACAGCAGAGTAAATCTATGACAGTTTTTAAAGAGGCTTTACGTGAATATTTCTCTGAATTAGAGTGGTGTTTGGTTGTGCGGGCAGCAAGGAAAGTATTTACTTTCTTTTTTGCAGGAGACCTTTTATGGCCACTTTCATTTGCTTTAACAAATATGTTACTATAAATCCGAGATAGTGATATAATCAGTTGAGGGTAGATGCTGGTGTTTTTATGGTTCCTGTAAATGTGCTATCTATGGTTTTGTAGCAATTGTCATGTGACTGAGAGCCGTAATTTGCCTCTACTGATTGGCTGCCATGACTATTTTATCACGACACCTGTAATTATGTTGCTTTGTGATTAAGCACCCTGAGGTGTGGAACTTGCATAGCTTCTTAGCGATGACTTGCTGGAAATAACTCACCTAAGTTTCAATAAAGATGTTCTGAGATTTGGAAGAATCGTGTGTGAAACTTTGAGGAGATTAGCAGTTTCAATAAGGTGTCCTAAAGGCATCTAATCACCCAGGAGGTACAAGATGAAGATTTATTCAGCATGCTGCAGTGGCAGCTAAAAGTGCAAGTGCCTAAAGCATTCCAATAGGCTGATATAAACCAGTGTAAGCTGGATCTACGGTGGGCCATACATTGTGCAATTTTCTTTCCTTCAACCACAGGTTGATAGATCGACTTCAGTACAACCAGACTGCCTAAAGGTATATTGAAATTCTTCTGGTTCCTGCTGAAACCGCCAAATTTCAATCCATCTATGGCTGGCTTAAGTTTTCTAGTACCTCACATTTCCCATTGTCTTTTAATTACATTATATTGTCTGCTGATGTGTAGGTTTTTGCTCTGCTAGACTGGATCTTCCAGCACCATGGACTATATGTAAGTTTGTTTTTTTATGGGTACTTGTTACATGTTTATGCATGAGATCATTATTGGGTGCCTCTACCTATTTTTGACTGAAGGTCTGTATAAGCTAGTTACAATGTAATTATTATTATACAGGATTTATATAGCGCCAACAGTTTGCGCAGTGCTTTACAAAATGAAGGTAGACATTACTGTTACAATACAATTTGGTACAAGAGGAAACAGAGATTCCTGCTCGTTAGAGCTTACAATCTGGGAGGAAGGGTTGACTGATACAAAAGGTAATAGCTGTGGGGGATGAGCTGATGGAGGAAATAAAAGACAGTTTACCAATTAGAAGCAGGATAGGCTTCTTTTAAAGAGAACAATTTTCAGGGATCGTCTAAAAGGTGGATAGATTAGGAGATAGTCGGACAGATTGGGGTAGGGAGTTCCATAGTATGGGGAAAGCTTGGGAGAGGTCCTGGAGGCAAACATGGATGGAGGTGACACGGGAACTAGAGAGCAGTTGGTCTTGGGAGGATCAAAGAGAGGCTGGTTTGATTGATATTTTGAGACCAGGTTGGTGATGTAGCTGGGGGCAGAGTTGTAAGAAGTTGTTAGTATTTTGAATTTTATTCGTTGGGCGAGTGGAAGCCAGTGGAGGGATTGGCAGAGAGGGGTAGCAGACACTGAACGGTTGGTAAGGTGATGAGCCTGGTAGCAGTATTAATGATGGACTGGAGGGGGGATAGCCTACAGTATGTAAAGGTAAGCCAATGAAGAGGGAGTTGCAGTAGTCGGGGTGAGAGATAACTAGGGAGTGAATTAGGAGCTATGTGGTATCACTGGTTAAAAAGAGGCGTATTCTGGAGATGTTGGAGGTTGAGGTGGCATGATTTGGACAGTGATTGGATGTGGGCCTGAAAGGATAGTTCAGAATCCAGGGCTACCCCTAGCACTCTGGTTTGCAGGGCTGGGTTGATCGTGGTGCTATTGATCCTGACCGAGAAATCAGGGGAAGAGGCACCTGGGGGAGGAAATACTATGAGCTCAGTTTTGGATAGATTGAGTTTTAGGAAGTGGTGTGACATCCAGTCTGATATGTCTGTTAGTAAATCGGTGAAACGTGAGGAAACTGATGGGGTGAGTTGAGGAGTAGAGAGATAGATTTGTGTGTCATCAGCATAGAAATGATATTGAAAACCATGGGAAGCTATAAGCTGACCCAAGGAAGAGGTGTATATTTTAGCCCTAGGCAACACTAAAATTGGGCGCACCCCAGCAGCACCCCCCCAGTCACTGCAATCCCCCCCCCCCCCATCCACAAATCTGCATTTGCAGATCTAGTCTCCTTGATACAGTTTTTTTTTTTTTTTGCTTTCTTTTTACTTTTTCCTAGTTAGGTAACCTCTCCAGCTGGCTTGGATGGTGGTTGCTACTTTATTAATGTAGTTAGTCAATACCTATAAATGATAATGGCTATAACCATTGCAACAACATATATGTATCTGAATATAGATTATTGAAAGGGTTTGCTGTCCCATAGGATCTTATAGTCGCAAGCAAAATGACCTGAAGGAGTAAATTTTAAAGCAGTTGTTGTTCCACTCTGGTTGTTTAATATTTTTGAATATTTTTTAATGTTTTAGAATGCTGCTAATTATGATGCTACTTAGCCGCTCCAATTGCTATTACGACAGAGATGACCGCTGGCCCTAAAAGGTGGTACAACCACTTGAAGCGCAATAATGTACCAGGTTTGTGATTGTGCGGCAAGTGGTTAAATGCTGCAGCTGTGATGCTTTGCTGTGCGCCTACAGCACAGCTGACCTGACCTGTAGCGACGCCGCCTTCTGAACACTTCATGTGGTTGTAGCGCATTTGTCAGCAAAAATGGGGTTAAAACAGGTTGTGAGTAGGCATAGAATCGCTTCCTCACTGCCTGTCAGTAGCCTCCGGAGTGCGAACTGAACATGGATCGGGCTTCAGCGGCAAGGGAGATTTAAACGCAAATCTAAATCTACCTTTACTAGGTTTTTTTTTTTTTTAGAATGTTTTACAAGTGGTATTTTATTTTTTTTAAATATTTTTTTTTTTTTTTTGGGGGGGGGGGCTCTGGAGAGACCCCTAATGTGTTTTTTTTTGAGACAGAGAAAGGGATTTTGTGTGCAATTTCCTGCGGGAGTGGCAGCAGAGGGATGCCGGCAGTTGCATAGGATCCACAAAGATCCATGCTGGTAAGGAGCGTGGTAGGAGTGAGGATTTCTCCTGGGGGGCAGGTGTGAAGGCAGGAGACAGATGGGGGTGGGCATTTTAGGGACTGCAGTAGAGGAGGAAGCAGCAGATGGGCTGGTAAAAGATGGCGGAGGTATCAAGGGGGGGGGGGGCTCATTTTAGGTGAATAGCTCTGATCAGCGGCTTGTTAATTCAGCAGACTTCTGAACATTTCTGCTACTGAAGTGGCTATGAGCTTATAGCAGAGGAGGAATGTAGGCCTACAGGAAGCAGTGCTGTAGGTCTGTACACCGTACAGACCTGGCAGTGAAAGAGTTAAAGGGAAGCAACATTTTTGAGGAACCCCAGGTGAATTACACCATGTTTTGTCAGGGCAAACCGGAGCCTTCATTTGGTAGTAAACATTAATGATATCTCCTGATTTTTGTTTTTTTTTTTTGTTTTATCATAGGAAAATTGGCCCAATATCAAAAATATATATATATTTTTCTTTACCTAAAACACAGACACTAACCCAGATCAAGCCCTTATCTAACAATTGTATCTTTTTATTTTTTTTTAACAGACTCTTCTGCTAGTGATTGGCTATTATGTGACCATCGAATTTCTCATGTGCTTCACTGAACGATAACAGGTTGGTTTGACAAGACTAGTGCAAATGTTATGTATAAAAGGTATTACGAAAGACCAAAGGTATTATAAATCCCATATTATTTCCTCAAAAATCTTATATATTAGGTTAGGGTTAGGCTATCTGGTCTGTAGTTTTCTGGAATACATCCTGATACCTTTCTTGCTCCCATCCACAAACACCTGCTGTCCCTTGCCCGTCATTTTGTCCAGGATGATCCGCATAGTTCTCAGAATTTCCAAGGTTGTAGAGTAGCGATAGTCTCCTGCTGCTGTTAGCTAAGTTGCTGGGAGGAGGAGGATGCAGGGGCATAGCTCGCCGGCTATGTACCTATGGACAGGTTCAGGTCCTGGACAGAAGTGCACATAAGCAGCTGTTTTCTTAGCAGCCAATTGTTTGAGCACCAGCTGGACATGAAGGAAATGTTTTTTTTTTTTTTTTTCTTTTTACAAAACGTCCATCTACTGTAAGTGTGGACCTCATATGCTGAAATAATAAAGGGGTTTAAAGCGTAGCTCCACCCAAAAGGGGAAGTTCCGCTTTAAGGACTGTTTCCCCACTCCCCATTAAGGACTGGCACCTTTGGGTGGCGGGTACCCAAATTTGACAGGTACCAGCTCCCAATTGCGGTCGGACCACCTAGGCCAGGGGTCTGCAACCTTTAAGACATAAAGAGCCACTTGGACCCGTTTCCGAAGGGAAAAAAAAGACTGGGAGCCGCAAAACCATTGCAACATTTAAAACAAATCCGACACTGCATATATTGTTTCTTACCTTAATGCTATATACAGGATCGTGCAGTTAGCTGTCAATCAGAAGAAAAAAAGAACTTTTTCACCTAACAATGTCAAAATCGCAAAAAGCGCTCTGGTCATGAAGGGGGTTTAAGGACCCAGTAAGCAAAGGGTTAATCAGGGCCACAGTGTATCGTCATAATCACAATCATAGCCTTAGGTAAATATGAGGGCCCAATGTAATCCAAATTATAAATATATTATATTATTGTCACTTTTCTATTAATATTTTTTGAACCCCCCTCAGAACTACTTTTCATAGAAAACGTTAAATTAACTTACCTTTTTTTGTTCTTCACTCCCGCGCAGTGCTGTGTTCTTCTTCACGCTCATGCAACGCTAGCTCACGCTGGTTTCGGCTCTGTCACTCCTCCCCCTCGCACACAGGCGGCCTGACGTCACCAGGCACTGTACTTGTGGCGAGGCGGAGCTGAACCACGTTGAGTAGCTACGGCAACCCTATTGCCTGTCACCTGGTGGGCAGTGTGCTCCGGAGCCGCAGCAAAGGTGAAAAGGAGCCGCGGGCTGCCGACACCCGACCTAGGCAATCGGAAACAGAAGGTGCTCTCCCTCCTTCCCTCCCCGTAGTCTTCTGGGACACGTGACAGGTCCCAGAAGACTACAGGACCATTCATGAAGAGCAGTGCTACTCGCACATGCGCAGTGGGTACCCGGCTGTGAAGCCGTAAGCAGTCACAGCCGGGTGCCCACACTGAAGATGCTGGCCTCCAGGAATCCAGGACGGCAGGTGAAATGGGCTGCGGGGGACACATCACGGGACAGGTAAGTGGCTGCTGACTTTTATTTTTTGACAGTATGAGTGGAACTCCGCTTTAATATCACTTTAAAATGTTTGTAAAGGTATTACTTTTTTCTCTGATTTTGGATAGAGTGATGAGGGTTTTGGTTATTTATTTTTAATGCTGTAGGTGTCTCCTTTGGGGAGAATCTCCCTCTCTATTTGTCCCACTGATCACTGTCAAAATCCAAAGTTTTGTGTTGAACAGCATTAGAGGTGAAATCTTTTAATAGTAGAGATTCTCTCAGGCATCCTCTAAACTCTTGCTTTTATGTACTCCAATAAGCTGTGGTCTAGGCCATTCATTATCTCACCACTCACATGGAATGACCTAGTCCTCAGTGAGTTTGGGTTAGAGATGAGTTAGGAAGATGCCCACGCTCATCTCTAGTAACTAGTACCAGTGCCAGCTGTCCAAGAGATGATCCCCCTTACTTTTGAAGAGAATTCCTTTTACTTCCTGTATCTACATGATGAGAAATGAAGGGAAACCTCCCCAATGTTACACAATGTTGCAAAAAAATCTGAAAGGGGTTTTAGTCATAACTAGCTCTCTTTAAAGTGTGTGCACTGTGGAAGTAATTCAAACCCAACTCAAGAATTTGACTACTTTTTGTATTATTTCCTCCCGCTGCAGTGAAAGGGAAAAAAAAAAAAATCTTTTTTTTTTGCCACAATTCTTACCTTCAGTTTGGAGCTGCCCCTTGCAGTAATTCAGTTTTTCCACTAGAGGGGGGCATCATGCACCATGGCAGTGTGACCACAGCTACACACACACCAAAACTGGAGCAACCAGAATCTGGAGCACATGTATAGTCCACCCAATCAACTTACAGCTTTTATTTTTAAAGCTTAACTGAGCAAGCCGATTAGTTGCCATGCTTCAGATTTTAACCGTAATTATACAGAGTACAGATTCATTCTGCATCACTAAGGAATGCGCTGCTAGAGAAAAACTCTGTCGGGGAGATTTACCAAAGCTGGTTCACCCAGAATCTGGTGGACCTGTGCATGGTAGTCAATCAGCTTCTAACCTCAGCTTGTTCAATTAAGCTTTGGCAATAAAACATGGTAGCTGTCTGGTTTCTATGCAAAAATGCACCTGATTTTGCACTCTCCAGTTTTAGTAAATAAACCCCTGTGTGTTCCGTCACCAGCCTAGAGCCCAGAGTTGGGCTTTAACTGCTGAACATGTACTCACCTTTTGTGCCAGCCCCGTCTCCTCCTGGTCCAGTCTATTTCTTTTATTTTCAGGACTTCCATGTTCATCTTTTCAACCAGTTTCTAAGAAGGTATGGCTTATGGTAACTTCTGGCTACACTGCCAACCACGGGCTAATGGTCACAGCAGAATTTATCCATTTTCTCATCGCCTTCTGCAATATATACAGTAGAGACTGCACCGCCACTAAATCCTTTTTTCCTCTTTTCACATAAAATGTTTTATTGTTCATACGGTAGTTTAGGTCCTGTAAGACTGTACTACTCCAGCGATGTGTATCACCCTGCCCAGGGCTTAGGCCCTAATCACACTTGTGTGTTATACATGTGTTTCAGGTACGGTGTGAAAAAGTCCTGCTTGCTGCATTTTTTATACACTTTCATCAAAACACATATTATAGATTTCAATGGTAACACACCGAAAGCACACTGCACAAATGTGAACCCAGCCTTAGTCATAGAGGTGACTTGACATAAGCTAGGTACACACTAGAGGTTTTCTTTGTTCAACCCAGCATGGTGAACGAAAGTAAACAGAGATCGCTCTACTAACACTAGCGATGCTAGTGCAACAATTTTTCCCACTTTGCCGTTGTTCTGACAGCGGGACTGCCTCCCTGCCAGAACACATGGATAAGCGCTCACAGCCATTGCTTACCAGAGCTGATTGGATGATGGTTTTCCAGCATGTCCGTTCGACAGAAGCTGGTCATAAGACCAGCTTCTGTAGAAGAAACAGCTGTACTAATGGGTCTAAAGTGTGCAGTTCCTGCTGCAATGACCAGTTTAAGCCTGTGTGTACCAAGCTTTAGACCCAGAAGAAGAGACTTATGTTAAAAGGAATAGACTGATAGCACCCAATATGCTACACAAAGTTTTTGTTGATTTGAAAAGAGGAAAAGAAATGGTGGTCTGTATGCTACAAGCCAAGCTCCATTATACTACAGAGATTTAAGGTGATACTAAACCCAGGACCCTGCATTCACTACATCTGGTCTCCCACAGTACACACAACATGAAAATGCAATATATTTTACTAAATATAAACTGCTACATGCCTTTTCTCTCAGCAGTTAGAACAGTCTTGTGACTTCAGCAGAGCACTGGTTAAAGCTTGTAGGGTTTTTTTTTTTTCTGCTCTAGGAGGATGTGAAACCCCTGACCCTCTGTCTGGACAGTGCTGATTGGCCTTGTGTTTATCACATGTATGTGACTAGATTCAGTCTGTATCAGGTGGTCATTTCAACAAGAGAGAAGAAAGGATTAACCCCTTAGGTTCCACAGTGAGTATATGAAGCATGCTTTACTGCATCTACAGACTTTATTTTACCGTTGTGGGTTTAGTAACACTTTAATAGTTCTATCAGAATCATTTAAGTACAATAAGTAAGTGAAATAGTGTAGGATTTTACTTTGTGATGTAAACGGTTTTGTTTAAAAACAAAACAATACTATAACCGACATATTTAAATGCTATAGTTTCATTATATATATATATTTTTTAAACAGTAATGAAGTGTGTGCTAATGACTGCTGTTTATAGTTGAAATCCTCAGATTTCTGCCCCTAGTCATCCCCACAGCAGTAATCTTCTAGTGCTGTGGTTGTAATAGCAGCTTGGTGTTAAAAGGGTGGGTATAGACAGTTTGAGTGCCTGTCACATACACAGCTGGTGATATTAACCAACACCCAGGACACACCTCATTATTGGTAAGTAGAGACCTTAGTGCTGTTAAAAAAAAAAAAAAAAAAAATCACTAAACAACTTTACCTGTTATAAAAAGGAATGAATTACTCTCGTTGGGTTTATTATTGTTTCAGTGTGCTTGCTATCAAAAAGATCATATTGAAAAGCATTTGTATGGGGCATACAAATTGCCATCTTTATTTCATTAGTGTTTTGTCTAATTTTATATTATTATGACCTTAATGAAGAAAGAGTATCACACATTTTATGTATGGTGACTTTTGTACTAGTTTATACAAGTAAAATAAATATTTCCAGTGTTCCGGAACTGGTTTTAAAATTACCATGAAAAGTCCAAGACAGTTAAAATTGTTTCATGTTTCTAGCCAACACATCAATACTTTGGTCGCAAGAAACGTTGGGGTGTCATTCACAATAAATGGCACTATGCCAAAGCTCTGCATATCAAAATAATGAAATGTTGCTGGTGTGAATGAGCCTTTAAATAACTTGGTTTTTTTGTTTTCAAAAACAAATTCACAGTGGTAGGGTGTATCAGGCAAAGGTACAAGTGATTGATTGTAAAGGTTTAACTTTTTATTTTTTTTAAAAAATAACATGGTATACTTACCTGCTCTGAGCAATGGCTGTGCACAGAGCAGCTCTGATCCTTCTCAAGTCCCCCCGAGTGCCTCCATAGCAAGCAATATGGCAGTACTCGTGTGTGTGTGCTCGTGGGCCCCGCTGTGCGTGTTCATAAGACAGTGCACCCCCTCATCCCCAGCTGTGACCTACAGCAGCGAGAGCCAATGGTTACCACTGGTGTGTTTCTGCTAAAGAGGAGGCAGAGAGCCTCTGCACTCATGCACATCACTGGATGGAGATGAGGAAAGTATGGGGGGGGGGGGGGGGGGGGGGGGCTGGCAGGGGAAGCTGCATCCAGAAGGTTGTTTACCCTAACTGCAGAGAATGCATTAGGGAAAAAAAAAAAAAAAAGAAAAATGTTCTGCTCTTAGAACCACTTAAATATATTGAAACCATGTGTTTAGCAATTTTCCTGGAATTCCACTCTTTAACCACACTCCCAAAATGCATTGATCTGCCACTTTAGCACTTCCACAATCTAACACTCATTGGTATCAGGCACACGGTGACACTCCTTCTCCTACAATGCCTAAGTAACTAATTGTCAAACTAAAGACCTGCAAGAGTGTGGTTTTTGTGGGGAGGGAAGCGGCAAATACCTTACTGTTATCATGGATTTTCAGGTTGCTGGAGCAGAGACCAGAGTGCCAAGGGAGTGCAGTTAGCTAAATGCATGCTTACAACACACCTACCCAGCTGTCACTGACAGCTCTAGGTCACTGCTTCTGATTTGGGAGGCAGTAGACCAGGCTTCTCATCCTCTGACTGCTTTGAAATCCAATCACAGCAGCGATGCACCTCTCTACATTAAAATGTAAGTAATCCTTGACTACATCATTCAGTTACAGCCATCAAATAAAAGGATACTATACACATGATTGACATCAGATTACCATCAACCCATTCTTTGCAATGTGTCACGAGAGAAAATGGGAGTTGCAGATTATATATATATATATATATATATATATATTTTTAGGAACTGTAGGTATTGGCTGACAGAATAATTTTTGTAATAACACCACATGCAATTTGTAGCTAGCCCCTCAGTTTTCATAAGCAGTTGAGAAAACATTCCCCCTTCCCATTTTTAAAATGGGATGTTTAGTGCCTAAATGACCAAATAGCAAAACTGGCCAGTGCCACATGGTTATCTATGCAAAGTCAACTTTTAACTTAGCCATTTCATTGGCACCTGCTGACCTACTGAAAGGGCATATGACTTGTTAGTTTATAGAGTGATGTTTAACAAATTTATTAACAATATTAGACACATATAGGTTACAACTCAGGCTGCTTTTTCTTTAACAAAGTGTGTGCAATTGTGACTACCTGTGCCTTTATTCCTGGGAGGAGTCAATCATTCACCTGGGTTCCTGGGCCAGATTTCCCTCATGGAAGCCACAAGCGCTGCATTCAGTTGCCCATAGAAATCAATGGCTGTATGGGGTATGTGATAGTGCCTCTCTAAATCCACACATTCCTTCCTGCCTGAGTGCAGACTGTCTTACTACTTAGGCAAGCACCAGCATATACCTGTCTACAGTCATTGATTTCTATGGGAGGCTGTACACGGCCCCTGTGGATTCCATGTGGAGACATGCCTCCATTATTATATTTTAGGGCCCCAGGTGCCCATGCGGCTCAAGACAGTTTAGCAAAGGCCTTGGACAGATTTAGTATTGCAGACTATACAGATTTCTATTTAAACGTATGTACATTTAGGAAGTGGTGAGGAACAGGTGTCATTTTGTTATAGTGCTACTTCAGAGCAGCAGAGCCAAAAGTGTACAAATCTGTAAGCTTATAATAAGGTTAGACTCACATCTTTGCAAGTGGGGAACGTGGAAAAATTGCACACATTCTCGATCCACAGAAAAATTTCACTTCACTTTAGCAGATGCACTGGAGTGCCATTATTTCTTAACAGCATTCCCATGCATTAGCAGCTACAGTGCAACTTTGTGCATGCTAAACTGCATGGTGCTGCAGCACCATCTGATTCAGTGTGGTGTAATTTCTAAAAGAACAAAAAAAAAAAAAAAAAAAGGGCAGGGTGTTTCTCTGCATTTCTCATGGGTAGGGCAGCTCATTGAAATGTATAGGCTGCTCTACCCATGACCTGCTTGCACATATGTGATTGAAGCCTAAAAATCTGCCTCACTGCTCTAAAAATCTTGTAAACAAATCAGCACGCAAGTAATTCAGCAGTAATTGCACTTGGCAGTATAAATAGAATTTATAAATATCCTCCTCTGAAGTACCCACAGGTGTACTGAAGCTCATGTCAATGAAGAGGGGAGGGTGCAACATGATTGAGCTGCAGAATGGCAGCTCTAGGACCTGCTTATTATAAGGAACAGTAGTAATCACAGGTTTCCCAGCTTGCCTGATCAATCCTGTTCACGGTAGAGGTGTGTGAATATATCAGGCACAAGCTAGTGTGCTGATCATCTTATTTACACTGGGCAAAAATTGTAATAAGCAATCCTTTACAATATGTCATACAAATAAGGACAATTTTTTTGGTTCAGTGTCCCAACAGGAGACGTTTTGTTTTCTGGTATCTTAGAATGTGACTGACAACTGCCCAGCCACCAAAACACATAATGGTGAGTGCAAAGCTCATGGTCACTGAAATGACCAACACTGCACTAAACTAAGAACATTTAATAGTGCAAGTTAGGATTAATAATCTATTGGTACTGGCAGGGAACAGGTTAAGCATGATCAAAAACACATCCATAGTACTTTCTGTACACAGAACATTCTCCAAAATGTTCCTAAATTATTGTTGAGGATATATTTAACATCTGACTAAATATCTGCATACAAGCAAAGTATGCATCTACTACTTTGTAGTAGCATATAAAATCATTTTTATGATACAGCTTCACTACACAGACCAAACACACAAAAAAACAAGTCTACATCATTAGGCACAGCGGCAAATTTTATCATTTGGACAATATTTTATTGTGCGTAAGGGCACTAAAATACTGGATATACTGGAATGTATTGTAAAAAAATGAAAATTAAAAATATTGTTCCCAGTATAACATAAATATAGCAAACTGACCACTTCAAACAAAAAACGAGATCTGTAAAATATAACATTTACATTATTTTACAAATGACATCTAATATGTGCAATTATAACACAGTCCTACTTACTACTCCAATACAGGAGTGATCAGCAATGTTACAAAGCCTTCAGTGATAAAGGGATTACTACCAGCCCCCCACCCCCCTTAGCTTCTCACTGCTCTAAAAACCTTGTAAACAATTAAGGCAGTATACAAGTAAATCAGCAGTAATTGCACTTGGCATTATTAACTGACCAAGTTTGTCTTTTACAGATTTTACACTTTAAATATAAAACACTGCACATCAACAGTGAGGTACTGTAAACATTACGTTGTCAAAAATATTGTGTTCCTTGGAGATGCTTTACACCAAAAAAGTCAGTCTTCCCAAAAGAGACATTTGCAGGTTCTTGCAGAAGCTGAAGTGTTCTAAGCCATAGGTTCTAAAGGACTCTGCAAGATTTGAGTTCCCATGTCTGCAGAACTGCTGCAGTCTCTCCTTGTAATATAATTATTTTAAATAACTGAGAATGCAAAAGGAAGAGTGGGAACGGAGACCATCAGTCCCCAGAGATAAGTAGGCAGCAAATGACTCTTCCCCACCAGATTCCACCTATATCTAAAGTATCGCTTTTGAGTGGAATGACCATTTAAGTCCCATTTCCTTCTACCCTAGTGATGGCAAAAAGTACTTGCTGCAATAATGTGACACTTAACTCTAGAAAAGGGTTAACCAAAACATCTACAGTCTGTAATCTGCTTCAAAATGTTAAGGCCCCAATAATCTTCACCTTTTATCTTCTAAAATGCAACTGTAGAGCTTGAAGATCCATCAATTGACAGTTGCGGAAGCAGAATGGTCGTTAAAGGTCTAGTCCAGCAAAGTCTTTGGCTGTGTCTTTGATCCTGTAAGGTATAAAATGGTACGGTGCCGGGACAACCCACTATTTGGCAAGAGAGCCTTTTCTTTTGGAATGGAGTTGCTCAATTGATGCAGATATATAAACCAAAGTTTAGTAAGCTTGGACTTGTTGAGGAAGGAGTTGGCAGCCACTATTGACATGACTCATGACCTTTTGCTTGAGCTGGGCCACCTGTTCTCTCAACAGGTTAGCAGTAGATGCCAACTCTGTATTTTGATTTTTAAGGCTTTTCACCTTTTCTTCCAGCCTGGAGATTCTCTCTAGTTTCCTCTTCCTGCATTTAGAAGCAGCTATTCTGTTTCTTAATCTTTTTCTTTCGGCCTTTATTCTCTCTTGAGTGTCCATATCTATAGGGGACATTGGTGGACTTTCCCCAAAACTTGCAACCTCAGGCACAATCTGAGGTTCATCCTTGAGGGTCTGCATTCGAGGTGGAGGTGGGGCAGGCTGTTGCGCCAACCCAGACGGAGGAGGAGGATAGGGTACTGTGTCAGTGCTGTAGTTAACAGTGGTGCCCATTGTCCCAGTAGAATAGCTGCTGAGGTTGGCATAGATAGGAGCATCAGAAGGTGGGGGAGGCTGAAGACTTCCACCTGAAGGCACTGAACTTAAATCCACTCCTGTGGTTGGGACACCAAGTTGATTCTGTTTGTGAAGGTCCTCTAGTGCTTTTACAAATCCTTCGGCAAACTCTTGCTCTTCGCTAGCTACCTTTGGGTACAGGAACTGGCTGGTAGTAGGTGTAGTGGTAACCAGGCCATTGGATTGAATAATCAGTCTCTCCAGTTCTGGAGAAGCTAGCTTTAGCAGACCAAGGTCAGGAGAAGTCAGAAGGCCATCCCCATCCCGTAGAGGTTTCAGGTTGACCACTACCTGGTCGTTTAGGTTCAGGTTGAGGTCTTTCTTCATCATGCTGCCAAAAGTATAGAAGCTGTAAGCTGGGTGCACATTCAACACATCATCATGGTAGAAAGGTGTTTCCATTATACCTCAAGACAGTCTAGATACAAGCTGGAGGGAGCAGAATTGAAGAAGACCCATCTGTAGGCCGAGGGACGACTCAAACTTGGTAATCTGTTGCCTTCAGGCGTAGGATCAGTACCCCTGCACTCCTGGGGAAGAGGAGTCTTTGTTCTTGGAGAGGTGTGTATCGCTTTAAGGGGCAGGCGGCCTTTGTTAGCAGTGTGCTGGTCACAGGGCACTCACACTTTCCTGGCAGGTAGTGTTCCCCCTCCTCATACACACACACAGCCCTCCCTGGGAGCGCCACAACAACTTTTACCGTCTTCTCTCTCAATGGCTGCCTCTTCTTCGTGTACTAGCAGGAGAAGAAGTTCACAAGGCAAAGTTCACTCCCAGGGTGTGGGCGCCGCTGCCAGACAAAGTCTTTGTTTCCTTGCTGAGCCGAACAACGAGGCCGCCACTTCCTTATTCCGCCACCAGTCCCCCCAGCACCGGCCCGCACCCGACTTCTCAAGCGCCACTAACTCTACGCGATACCCTACTTACTTATATAAGGTTTCCTTGGACATGATGTCACTTAGCCGCGCTCCCATTGGTCAGAAATGACGTGCGGCCATTCCCTGTTTTACATATCGGGCGGGACGAGCGCGCTGCGAGGCAGGCTGGGTTGATGTCATTCATTAACCGACTCGCCGCCGGGTGGGAGTGCTCGACCAATGGCGAGCCGCCTGCAGTCACATGACCGGCTTTTTCTTTTGTAAATGAGTTGGCCTGGGCTGACGGACGTCACAGGTTATTTTTAGACACGTGGATGGGGAGTGGCGCGCTTGTCAGAGCTGAAACAACTGTGCTGTGGTAAACTCTTGTTTAGAGACATATATAGAGAGGTAATGAGGCATCCCCATGAAAGGTAACTCACTGGGCAGGAAAGTAGTTCACTTTACAATGGTCACTTTCACTACTTTTTGGATAAGGAATACTAATACGCATGGTGCAGTCATACACAATCAGTTACTAGCATTTCACGTTTATTAAGCACTAGCCTACAGGGCACTTATACCCCCTTCCTGCCCAGGCCAATTTCCAGCTTTCAGCGTTGTTGCACTTTAAATGACAATTGCGCGGTCATGCAACATTGTACCCATATGAAATTTTTATCATTTTTTTGTGACAGAGCTTTATTTTGGTGGTATTTATTCACCTCTGGGTTTTTTATTTTTCGTAAACCAAAAACCACTGAAAATTTTGAAAAAAAAAGTTTTTTCTTAGTTTTTGTTATAACATTTTGTAAATAAGTGATTTTTCTCCTTCACTGATGTGTGCTAATGAAGCTGCACTGATGGGCACTGATAGGCTGCACTGATGGACACTGATAGGTGGCACTAATGATGAGGCACTGGTAGGTGGCACTGATGGGCATTGACAGGCATCACTGATGGTCACTGAAAGGCAGCACTCATATATGGGACTGACAGGTGGCACTGATAGGCAGCACTGATGCACACTGATAGGCGACACTGACTGGCATTGATAGGTGGCACTGACTGGCACTGATAGGTGACACTGAAAGGCAGCTCAGATGGGCACTGATATGTGGCATTGATGTGCACTGGTAGGCACTGATATGTGGCATTGATGTGACACTGATGGGCACTGGCAGGTGGCATGGATGAGCACTGACAGCTGGCACTGATGGACACTGACAGCTGGCACTGCTTGGGCTACACAGATCATCAAGGCACACTGATCATCAGTGCCCTGATGATCAGTGTACATGTCCCTTCTGAGGGACGTCAATTATATTACTGGCTCTCCTCTCCTCTTGAGCTGTCAGCGTGACAGCTTGTGAGGAGAGAAATGTCGATAACCGGCATTTCCCTATTTACATGTGATCAGCTGTGATTGGACACAGCTGATCACATGACCGAGCCGACATCTTCGGCTCTTTCCATTGATCGGTGATCCACTGTGTCCAAGGGACACAGCGCACCGCTGATCGCTGCGCTGCACGCTCCCAGAGCCACGCATGCGCGGTTAGCATGGGAGGACGTCATATGACGTCCTCCCAGAACAAGAGAACCTCCATCATTGTACTATATGGTGGGCGGGAGGTGGTTAAAGCGCATAGGTTCTGAAAAAACACAGTTAAAGGGTTAGTTCACCGTTACCAAAAGCTGCCTATGTAGGTAAGAGGAGTCTTGGAAAAAAAAAAAAAGCTGTGCAGTTGTGACTAAAGTTGAATAATTCCCTTCCTATAGGTGTAGGCCATTTATTTATCTCATGAAGCCTGATATGAAAACCCCCAGGATGTCGCTAAGGATGTTGCTATGTGAGGCCCAGCTATTACTCTTCTTCTTCACCATCACAGGATTGATCTCTCAAACTCTGAGTGCAGTGGGCACTTTCAGTACTTTTTAGAAAAGGAATACTAATAAGCATACTGCATTCATACACAAACTGTTATTTCACATTTATTAAAGCCCCACGGTTGTTCTGAAAACAATGAATACAGTTAAAGGGTTAGTTCACATTTACTAAAAAGCTGTCTATGCAGGTAAGAGGAGTCTACAAAAAAAAAAAAAAGCTGTGCAGCTGTGACTAAAGTTGAATAATTCCCTTTCTGTATAGGTGTAGGCCATCAATCTACCTCATGAAGCCGGATATGAAAACTCCCAGGATACTGCTAAGTAAGGCCCAGCTATTACTCTTCATCTTCACTATCACATGAGTGAGCTCTCAAACTGAGCGCAGTGGTCACTTTCACTACTTTTTGGATAAAGAATACTAATAAGCATGGTGCAGTAGTCATACACAATCCGTTAGTAGTATTTCACATTTAGTAAAGCACCTCTGTTCTGAAAACAATACTGTTAAAGGGTTAGTTCACCTTTACGAAAAGCTGCCTATGCAGGTAAGAGGAGTCTGTAGAAAAAAAAAAATGCTGTGCAGCTGTGACTAAAGTTGAATAATTCCCTTCCTATAGGTGTAGGCCATTTATCTACCTCATGAAGTCTGATATGAATCTCCCAGGACGTTGCTAAGGATGTTGCTAAGTGAGGCCCAGCTATTACTCTTCATCTTCATTATCACAGGAGTGATCACTTAAACTGAGCGCAGTGGTCACTTTCACTACTTTTTGGCTAAGGAACACCAGTAAGCATGCTGTAGTTATACACAAACTGTTATTTCACATTTATTAAAGCGCCTTGGTTGTTCTGAAAACAAAGAATACAGTTAAAGGATTAGTTCACCTCTACCTAAAAGCTGCCTACAGGGGATATAAAAAGTCTACACACCTCTGTTAAAATGTCAGGTTTCGGTGATGTAAACAAATTAGACAGATAAATAATTTCAGAACTTTTTCCACCTTTTTAATATGACCTATAAACTGTACAACTCAATTAAAAAACAAACAAAGCTTTTAGGTAGAGAGAGTAAACATAAAAAAAACTAAAATAATGTGGTTGCATAAGTGTGCACACCCTCTTATAACTGAGGATGTAGCTGTGTTCAGAATTAAGCAATCACATACAAAATCATGTTAAATAGGAGTCAGCACACACCTGCCGTTATTTAAAGTGCCTCTGATTAACCCCAAATAAAGTTTAGCTGTTCTAGTAGGTCTTTCCTGACATTTTTTTTAGTCCCATCCTACAGTAAAAGCCATGGTCCGCAGAGAGTTTCCAAAGCATTAGAGGGATCTTATTGTTAAAAGGTATCAGTCAGGAGATGGGTACAAAAGAATTTCCAAGGCATTAGATATACCATGGAATGCAGTGAAGACAGTCATCATCAAGTGGAGAAAATATGGCGCAACAGTGACATTACCAAGAACTGGACGTCCCTCCAAAATTGATGAAAAGATGAGAAGAAAATTGGTCTGGGAGGCTGCCAAGAGGCCTACAGCAACATTAAAGGAGCTGCAGGAATATCTGGCAAGTACTGGCTGTGAGTTACATGTGACAACAATCTCCCATATTCTTCATATGTCTGGGCTATGGGGTAGAGTAGCAAGACAGAAGCCTTTGCAAAATGTATGTTTTGGATGTTTTTCTTCATAAGAAAAGACACATCTGAAGTCTCCCGAACGTATGTGGGAATATGTGTTCTGGTCTGATGAAACCAAGGTTGAACTTTTTGGCCATAATTCCAAAAGATATGGTTGGTTCAAAAACAACACTGCACATCACCAAAAGAACACCATACCCACAGTGAAGCATGGTGATGGCAGCATCATGCTTTGCGGCTGTTTTTCTTCAGCTGGAACTGGGGCCTAGTCAAGGTAGACGGAATTATGAACAGTTCCAAATACCAGTCAATATTGGCACAAAACCTTCAAGCTTCTGCTAGAAAGCTGAACAGGAAGAGGACCTTTATCTTTCAGCATGACAATGACCCAAAGCATACATCCAAATCAACAAGAAGAAGATTAATGTTTTGGAATGGCCCAGCCAGAGTCCAGACCTGAATCCGATTGAAAATCTGTGGGGTGATCTGAAGAGGGCTGTGCACAGGAGATACCCTCGCAATCTGACAGATTTGAAGTGTTTTTGCAAGTAAGAGTGGATAAATATTGCCAAGTCAAGAAATGCCATGCTGATGAACTCATACCCAAAAAGACTGAGTGCTGGAATCAAATCAGAAGGTGCTTCAACAAAGTATTAGTTTAAGGGAGTGCACACTTATGCAACCATATTATTTTAGTTTATTTATACTTCCCTCCACCTAAACGATTTGTTTGTTGTTCAAATGAGTTGTACAGTTTATAGGTTACATTAGAGGTGGAAAAAGTTCTGACATGATTTATCTTTGTCTCATTTTTTAAAATTCCAGAAACCTGACATTTTAACAGACTTTTTATATCCACTGTATGCAGGTATGAGGGGTCTGTAAAAAAAAAAAGAACCCCCCAAAAAAACCAAGCTGTGCAGCTATGACTAAAGTTGAATAATTCCCTTGCTATAGAAGTAGGCCATTTATCTACCCCATGGAGCCAGATATGAAAACTCACAGGACATTGCTAAGGATGTTACTAAGTGAGGCCCAGTTATTACTCTTCATCTTCAGCATCACAGGAATGATCTCTCAAACTCTGAATGCAGAACTAATCCATCAGGGGAAAGAGAGCATGTGAGGGGGTTTGAATCAGAGAAAGCTCATTCCGGTGGAGGTGAACAGTAACATTGGGCCTCTCTTAGCAACATCCTGGGAGTTTTCAGGACAGGCTTTATGAGGTACATAAATTGCCTACACCTATAGCAATGGCATTTTTCAACATTGGTCAGAACTGCACAGTTTGTTTTTAGCTGCAGTCACCCCTTGTATAGGCATTTTTTTGGTAAAGGTAAACTATGCCTTTGAAGAGTTAACCACTTCCCATCAGCCGTACGCATATATGCGGCCTCTCGGCGGGTGGGCTTTAACGCTGAGCACCTGCATATGAGTCCCATGTAGACACTTTACTGTGCTGAGAGTGCACCCAGCACAGTAACCTTCAGGTAGTGGGAAGCTCCTGATGCATACTTGCGATGAGCTTTTTGATCATGTGACTGCCAATTGGATTGCCTGCCTCCCAGCATTTAGAACCTTTTATAAAGGCCAGGAGGTGGGAAGGAGTTAAGACCTTGTGCATACTGGTGGTTTGGCATGTCAGCATCAACTCCCAGCATTTTTAGGCATCCAGGAGGCACATGTGCTGCGTACAGTCCTGCTGCCAGCAGCCTACTTGACGTGGGTGCTCAAATGACTTGAGAATTCTACAAGAAGCATCTGAAGTACATCTACAGGAACTCAAAGATCTGGAGATATAAAAGTTCAGGGAAAGAAGTACCCCTGTGATGGTTACGTGCATATGAAGCTGTTTGACTCTTTAGTCAGCGCAAATCAGTAATTTTCCACCCACTTGCCATTGTGTGTCTCAGCCACCATGGTCCATAACAAGTTTTTTGATTGTGGGGACGAGCATGAATGTTGTGAATCCACTGCTAGCTTCTGCCATCTCTAGATGTGATTGTTCAATAAATAGTATGCACTCCATGGTGTGGTCAGTGTACAAGCTTCTGTTCAAAGAGAATAAGATTTCAATTGAGAAAGTACATCAGCCAGGAGAGGTTCCCTCTGTACTTGAGGGAAAGATGGAGATTCAAGGTCCAGAAGACACGTCCTCTTCACAGTCTTATAAAGTTGCAGTGGAACCGTCTGTCAGAGAAGAACATGGCCTGAAAAACAAAGAGACGACAGATCCGGCCTTTTGTGGAATGTGCAGGGAACTGTTCTAACAAAGTTATCACTGAAGTGCCCAAACCCTTTGTACCATTGACTGATACCCCTGCCCTCTACCTGATATACCATAGTGTTTTGTTAAGATGCTGTTTTAGCTCTTGCAAAATTGCTATTGTATGCACGCCTAATGTAATATTTTTTTCAGTTAAAGTTTGGTTGTACAGGTTATATCTTCAGAGGACCAAAGACTTCTTGGGTGGGGGGAGATTGTAGGTCTGGCCAGGCACTTCAAATGCTGCCCAGCAGAGCTGCATAAACAGAGAGAAATTTGCTGCTACCATGTTCTGCTGCCAGAGGACCTGGGAACTTTTCTGCTGAGACCACGTGGCCACTGTTCCTATGCTGGGGTAAAAGTGCCTAAAGAGCCTCAAGGCCATGTATCTCTGTATTGTGCAACTGCTGCAGTGTTCCAGTATTCTATTATCTCCAAGGCTTGCTGTGTCCAACCTACTGTGCCAGTGGATGTGTCAAAATCTTTGTGGTGGTGAAAAGCACCTTTAAATGGATATGGCAAGTGTTTTGTGGGTATCGAGCGCACCTTAAAGTGTTGTTTTGGTATTGCTACCACTGTCCTTGTTTGCTCTAGAGTTTTGCTGGAAGGGGATTGTGTTGCTTTCCAATGTTTTAGGATTACAAATGCTCTCCTATCTGGAGAGTGTGGGCTATTTTAAATAGTCCAAGAGCCCCAGCAATGGCAGACACTGTACTTTTGTTCCACTGGCCAGTGGTTATATAACACATCCTTGCATCAAGTAGTCTGAGCCTGTAAAACTAAGTTATTTGTACAGATATTAGTGCCGTCACTTTCACACTGCTATATTGTATTGTGATCAGTCTTTACTGCTTCTTGTGCCAGAGCCATTCCCTCACACCAGCCTAGTGTGTGCTTTGTACTAGTTTTATCACATTCGGCTGTGGGATGGATCGGTGACACCCTGTATTGTGTAACACATGCATTGTCGTGACATTGGAAACTGTTTAACTGACCTTCCTTCCCTACAGGGCTTTGCCTTAACTAAAGCCCATTTAAAACTGTTAACAATGTGTCTGTGTTCTCTGGTCCTAGTAAGTGAGGGTCATCACAGGTGCAGGGCAGAGGGACTCAAGACAATTCAGCAGCTCCTTCAGGGATTTGCTCTACAAGAAGATGCAAGACCAGTTAGGTTCCTCCTTTTAAACACTATACAGTACACTCTATAGTGCTCGAACAAGGATTCATCTTGCATCTTTATTACCTTAACCACTTGCCTACCGGGCACTTATACCCCCTTCCTTACCAGGCCAATTTTCAGCTTTTAGCGCTGTCACACTTTGAATGACAATTACGTGGTCATGCAACATTATACCCATATTACATTTTTATAATTTCTTTCTCACAAATAGAGCTTTCTTTTTGTGGTATTTATTTTGTCGCTGGGTGTTTTACTTTTTGCGCTATGAACAAAAAAAGAGCAACAAATTTGAAAAAAAAAAGTTTCTTTGTTTCTATTATAAAATTTTGCAAACAGTTAATTTTTCTCCTTCACTGATATGCATTAATGAGGCTGCACTGATAGGCGGCACTAATGACGTGGCAAGGATAGGCGGCACTGATAGGTGGCACTGATAGGTGGTGCTGATAGACAACAATGATGGGTGGCACTGATAGGTAGCACTGATAGGCAGTACTGATAGTCTGCAATGACGGGCACTGACATGCGCAACTGCTGGGCACTGACTGGCGGCACTTCTGGGTGGCACTGACTGGCAGCATTGCTGGGCTGCACTTCTGGGCACAGGTGGGTGGCACTTCTGGGCACAGGTGGGTGGCACTGCTGGACACAGGTGGGCGGCACTGGTGGATGGCACTGCTGGGCACCGATCATCAGGGCACTGATCATAAGTGCCCTGATGATCGGTGCCGATCCCTGCTCTGACAACTGCCTTTTCTCGGCAGTACATTCCTCATGCTCTGACAGTGTGAGGAAAGTGCAGCTGAGAACCAGCAATTGCATTTCCCGGCGATCAGCGTGTCATTGGACATGGCTGATCACGTGTAAAAGGCTGCTGTGATCGGCCTTTTACCACATCACATGATCAGCTGTGTCCGTAAGACAAAGCGATCACGGAGATCGCCGGGTGCGCGCCGCGTTCTGGGTGGACGTCATATGACGGCCTCCCAGAACTGGCCAGCTGCAGTGCAGCCGTCATTCGGCTATCTGCGGTCGGCAACTGGTTAAGTTAGTAAAATAAACGGTAACACTTAGGCTGGCCATATATCATACAATCTGATTGTACACCCACCCTGAGATTTACCAAAACTGTCATGTAAGGATAAACTTAAAGAGCAGCTTTTCCTATAACAACTTGATAAAAAATAATGTTCTTTAGCAAGGAACATAAATTCCACGTTAATAATTATGCTAACAAATTGAGTGTGTGCTGTAAATTGTCTCCAGCATTGTTCCGGTTTCTTCTTTCCAGAGGCTGCCCTTTTGCTGAAGTCCAGAACCCCTGAGCAGCAATACATCTATAGGCTGTCAGCAGAACAGCCTCTAGTCTCTGATTTTTGGCACGGTGCCAATAAATAGAGAGAAACTGAGCATGTGCAGAGTTGGGCGAGACCGTGTATTACTGGATTTTAAAGTGGTAATAAAGTCCCTTTGGTGATGTTTACCTAAATAGGCTTATAATAAAGCTTACCTGTAGATAAAATGAATATCTCCCAAACACGTACCATTTAGGAGATATTTGCTCTTTCGGCAGCAGGTGATATCACCGCCGCATGCTCTCTGAAGGAACAGCATACCTGTGCCGTACCTTCAGAGCCGTGGCCCATGACTCCCGCGTGTATGCACGGGGGTGACATAATCGCGGCTCAGCCATTCAAGCTTCCACAGCCTGCAAACCCGCATGGAAGACCTGGTGAAGATGGAAGCCCTGTCAGCGGTAACAGCGCACCGCTGGAGGTCGGCGGTGTAAGGTAAGTATTTCATACTGTGCTAGTATCTGATGCACATTATGCCTTTGCCTTGCAGGGGATTTTTACGTTTTTTTGTTTATCTTTAAACAGACACTTTTTAATATTTTACATGGCTACACCCGCAAAAAAGGGACAGCATGAAGTGACCTAGCTGGGCTTAATTTTCTGACAGACCCTTTGCAGTACATAGTTGATTGTGGATCCAAATGAAATTGTACAAATAGATTGTATAGTGCATTGTCAGCACTTTAAAAATACATAGTTTGGAGTTTAAAGCTAATTCAAAAACTTCTGGAAGCTGCTCTATTGCTCTCACTATTTCCTTAACCACTTGCCCTCCAGAGGATTTACCCCCCTTATACTGCGTTACTTTAACTGACAATTGCGTGGTCATTCAACGCTGCACCCAAATGAAATTTACGTCCTTTTTTTCCCCCACAAATAGAGCTTTCTTTTGGTGGCATTTGATCACCTGTGCGGTTTTTAATTTTTTGCGCTATAAACAAAAAAAGACTGACAATTTTGAAAAAAACAAACATATTTTTTGCTATTAAACATGTCCAATGAAAAAATTTAGAAAATCAAATTTCGTCATAAATTTAGGCCAAAATGTATTTTGCTACATGTCTTTGCTAAAAAAAATCCCAATACATGTAAATTAATTGGTTTATGTGAAAGTTATAGCGTTTACAAATAAATTATTAAATTAAAAAAAAAAGTTTCAGGAGAGCAATTCAAGTTAGATTATAAACATCAAAAAGCTCTTTATTGAACATCAGATGTGTATTTTTTGTGTATTAATATGGTGTAGGCGGAGTCAAAGATGATTGAAACTAGCTTTCATTTTGTTTAGATGGCATCTGCATCCATGGTTCTTTTTTTACTTTTACAGGTATTAGCAATTACATTTCATATATTTAATACTGGTTTACATTAAAACTAATCCTTTTTATGAGTTTCTTAGTTAATGTAATCAATCAGCAATGTTCAATGGAACATGCTCAGTAGACGACAACAGCTGGTCTACACAGTCTCAGGCTGAAATGGGGACAGGATCAACCAGATATTTCACTGTACGCAAAACAAATGCTTTAGTGGTTTTGTGATTATGCACACTCTGTTAATTAGCATGCAAAGAGAGTTTTACATATTCTGCATTTAATAACACTTTAACAAATAAGAAATCTTTATTGACTAAACGTTCTTAGAGTAAATGCTATGTTACACTAAGAATTTTGCCATTGTGCCATCTTCATTAAATTGCAACAGCCATTTTTCCTTATGGTCACTTTACACTTTACATTGCATTATTGTGCTTTAAGGCAGCACACCTTAACACGGGAAAAAAAATGAAGCTGGTATGTATGTTGAGGTGCACTGTAGAGTGAGTGCATTGCCCAATACTTTAATAGTGCATTGTGTGGTATACAAAACAAATAATACCATAACAGCCTAAACTGTGATTCATGTGTTATTGTGCCTTGCATAAAGTGTAGATGTCAAAGGGCTATAATTAAAGTCTCTTCTCTCTCTCACCTAATTTATTATTTATTCTTGCTGGGAGTAGCTAAGAATTTAATCTGGAAGCAAGTCTGACTGCATATATTTTCATACTATAGCTTTTACTTAGGAAGAAAGAGGGAAAAAAATTTGAAAATACAAAATTTTCTGGTAATGTTTTTATAGCCCCTCTTAGTAATTAATTTGCCTTTTAAATTAGGGGAAGTTTTTTTTTTTTCAAAATGACACTTTGTTGCACGCAGGTGAAAACACTCTGTTTTATGCAGGCATTAATATGCAAACACAGTCATAAAAAAATGCAGATGACATCCAGGGTACCCAGTTCCTTAGTTTAGGGGTTTATGGGCAAAGAATTTTTTTTCATTTTTTATTATTGCTATTCTTTTTTTAAGTTTGTATTGTTTTGGGGAGACATGATTAGGTCAAAGGAGACCTGTGCCACCTCTCAATGTACTTCTGCAGCAGCAGATCACATGCCTTGTCTATTTTTGCTCATAGAGGCAGAGAAGATTTCCTAGAGCTAACAAGAAACCCTAATAATGTTTTATACTGTAGGTGATGTCATATGGATTTCCAAATTAACCACAAATGGAGAAGAATTGTGGTTACATTGTAATACAGAGAGCTGTTACGAAGTTATTTGTTGTAGGACTAAAAGCCCATAAAAATTGCTGTAACCTGACTAGTAGCACCCAGTACACCCACTCCTTAGACCACCTGCAGTTTATGCTGTTTTATTACAGTAATAAGACTAACAACTGCCTTTGCCTTACCTTTTTAAATCAGCAGAATGTGTGGTTACATTGATCTAGTTTTGACTTGATTGGAGTATATATAAAAGCTAAGCCTTTTTTGTTTGTTTTCAATCAAGTAAGAGTAGTGTATCCATTGGAGAGAATTATCTTGACTTCCTGTCTCATAGACACAACAAGTCTAATGCAGGCCATAGACGGGTCGTTTATGGGCTCAATTTTCGTTAGTGGGGCCAGCCCGTCGGCCGTTTTTTGTGGATCTTCACATTTATTTTTATCGGTCATGCTTAGGGGCGGACTGACCATTCGAGCTCTCGGGCACTGCCCGAGGGCCCGGGGTCAGTAGGGGGCCCCATGAAATGCCCCTGGTACCTTTTTTATAGGCTTTTTTGGTGTGCTTTGAGTGTGGGCAAGGACACAGGGGCCCCATGATCCCCTATTGCCCAGGGGCCCCATAAGTTATCAGTCCGCCCCTGGTCATGCTGGAAAATCCATGAAAAACGTCCGTTTTACGTGGACATTGGTGGCAGCATTGGCAACAGGGCCGACCGATTTTTTTATTTATCGGGCGAAAATTCAACCGATAAACGGCCCGTCTATGGCCTGCCTAAGAGGAAATATCTTCAAAATAAGAAACTCTCAGTGACAGTTGTGACTGGACAAGAATCACCTCTAGATTATTTCCCCTTCATTCCTGTTCAGATGATAATCTCCCACGATCTGGGGCTCCACGCAAAATCTCACCCCGTGGGGTCAAAATGATCACAAGAACGGTGAGCAAAAATCCCAGGACCACACGGGGGGGACCTAGTGAATGACCTGCAGAGAGCTGGGACCAACGTAACAAAGGCTACCATCAGTAACACACTACGCTACCAGGGACTCAGATCCTGCAGTGCCAGACGTGTCCCCCTGCTTAAACCAGTACATGTCCGGGCCCATCTGAAGTTTGCTAGAGAGCATTTGGATGATCCAGAAGAGGATTGGGAGAATGTCATATGGTCAGATGAAACCAAAATAGAACTCGTCGTGTTTGGAGGAGAGAGAATGCTAAGTTGCATCCAAAGAACACCATACCTACTGTGAAGCATGGGGGTGGCAACATCATGCTTTGGGGCTGTTTCTCCGCAAATGGACCAGGACGACTGATCCATGTACAGGACAGAATGAATGGGGCCATGTATCGTGAGATTTTGAGTGCAAACCTCCTTCCATCAGCAAGGGCATTGAAGATGAAACGTGGCTGGGTCTTCCAACATGACAATGATCCCAAACATACCGCCCGGGCAACAAAGGAGTGGCTTCGTCGTAAGAAGCATTTCAAGGTCATGGAGTGCCCTAGCCAGTCTCCAGATCTCAACCCCATAGAAAACCTTTGGAGGGAGTTGAAAGTCCGTGTTGCCCAGCGACAGCCCCAAAACATCACTGCTCTAAAGGAGATCTGCATGGAGGAATGGGCCAACATACCAGCAACAGTGTGTGCCAACCTTGTGAAGACTTACAGGAAACATTTGACCTCTGTCATTGATGTGGTGGCTATTTTGGGCCTATAATAATTTTCAACATATTTACCATCTGTTGTATCACCTCAACACACCTCCATGTATGTTACTGTGACTGTGGGGGGGGAGGGGGATTACACAAAAGACTCAATGGAGGTGAGGGGGAAGGCAGCTGCTTCTTTGTGTACCTTGCTCTGAAGCCCACCCATTGGAAGATAACTTGGGTGGGTGGTTCTTGGGATGGTCTTTTGTAAAGT